GCCCTTTGTTCTCGATGTCAACGGCCGCTGGGGAACAGAGGCGGAGACGCGGCTGCGCCGCGCCGTTGGGGAATTAATTGCCCGAGGCCGAACGGCCCGCAGCGCGCTCATCCCTGCGCTCGGCAGTGGCCAACGCCCTGCAGGGCCAAATCGCTGAGCAGGTCGCCCTGGCGACGGAGGACATAGTCGGGCTGGATGCCGGGGCCGCCCCGAGCGTCCGGTCTTGACTAGATGTGGCTCCCTCCCATGTGCGAGCGCCCCCTGACCCTCCCGTTCCCCCTCGCCTTCCTGCTGCCCTGATCAGTCGTAAAAAGGTGGTCACATCTGCAGCGTGCACGGTATTGTTCAGTTCCCTTGTAGTGTGCATGATGCGCTCTTGCTTTGTCATGTCTGTCCTGCACGCCGCGTTGTGCAGCCACCCTGCCTTGTGCGCGTCGTGCTCCCGCCATGCCATATCCGTTGTGCTCTTAGTCTCTGTCTTGGGCTGCTCTCTCAACCCACCCGAGCTGAGCCTTCATGCCGCCAGCAGCACCTTTTCGAGACCACTGGTTAAAGAGGCGTCAAGAGGCGTTCAAGATCGGGGTCGCCCCGCGGGTCCTGGGGCCGTCGGCGGCCCGCCGTCCGCTTTGTCGCCCGCCCGCGACGTGGTTTCCTCGCCCCCCTTTCCCCTCTCCTGCCCGCCCAGGGTCCCGAACGGGGGTCAGGCCGTTTTCCGCCTGCACAAGGGTCGGTCCCCTCGCACCTGGAGCCGTCTTCATGTTTTACCTTTGCCCCGCCTGGGCAGTTGGCCGCCCCATTTTGGTTCGGTGTACAGCCTCTCCGCCTCCCCTCTCTTCCTCGGCAACTGTTTGGCTCGTGAGGTCTTGTCTCGCACAATCTCTCGAGCTGCATCTCCCGTGCCATCCTTCCGACCAAGTGATGGCGCACAAGTTCTCGAAGTCCGCGCCGATGCCGTGGCCTGCTAAGACGCACGCCGACTCGCCCAGTCACGATGCGGCGCCTCTTCGCGAGGCGTTGGCGGCGAAGGCTAAGGCGAAGGCTGAGGCACGCGCGAAGGCCAGCGGTGCTACCGCGGCCGACGCGCCCACTTCCAAAGCGGGGCCTGTGCAGCGCCCTGGCCAGCAGGTGAGCGCGTGAGCGGAGAGCGAAGACGAGGGGTTCGACGTGATGTCTGAGGCGGCGACCTTTCGGACGGCGCCGACACTGCCCACGGGATCAGTAACGCCTGCCGAGGACGCCGACGGAAGCGGCGGCACGGGGGCCGCCCCCAGTGCCGCCGCCTCCGATGGCGCCTCGGACGGAGGCCCCTCGGCGACGGCCGAGGCGCCTGCTGAGGCCTCAGCGACGCCCACGTCGGCGGTGGTGCCAGTGACGAGTGCCGCCCTGGCAGCGGCAGCCACCTACGCCAACTTCACCACGGAGCAGCGCCGTGGGTTGGACACGATCACCCTCGCGCTCCACAACCTCCAGCTGCGGGAACAGGCCGCGGGCGGCCGCGGCGGCCGAGGTGCGTGCAGCGACGCCGACGGCGGCCGCTCCGTGGACGATGAGACCGCCAGTGAGGCCCCGAGTGCAGCGACCACGGGTGCCCTCAGCGGTCATGGAGGCAAACGCCACCGCCGACGCAGCAACAAGGCCGTCTACGGCCAGGCCCCCCCGCGGAGCGGCGGCGCACCTGCCGCGCTTGAGGACGTCGAGATGATGGCGGAGGAGGACTACGCCGAGGCGGGCTACGCCCACTGCATGGGTGCGCACTGGGTCCCGCCGCAGCGCCTGGGCTGGTGTCGGGTGTGCACAGAGCTGGACGACTGGAAGATCATGATGGTGGAGTACGTGGACGAGCTCAGTTGTGGGGAGATGCGCCGCTGCGCTGAGGCTTCAGAGCGCAACCAGAAATACCCCGCGCTGCGGAGGGGCACACAGGGAGAGCACAAGCTGTACACGTGCTCGCGCTGCGTGGCGACGACGCAGAACATCACCGAGCAGGAGGCCGCGACGCGCGCAGCGCGCCTGAACAAGGGTGCATGCTCCATCGACCACGCCGCCAAGCGAGTGGCAAAGTTCCGTGCGAGCTTCGACTACATCATTGAGGGCATTCGCGCTCTCCGAGGAAGGCTTGCTTGCCCTGCGGAGGTCAACGGAGGGCGTAGGGGTGGGCATCGATCCCGAGAGCACGGGCGCCCCCCCAGCCACGGAAACGGTGGCGGAGGAGGTCGGTCGTCCGATGGCGATGGAGGTGGGGGCGGTGCCGGGGCCGCCCCGTGCGCCACCGCCACCCCTCGAGGATGGACCTCCCCGTGGCGAGGAGAGCGACCCCCAGCCCGACAACGATGCTGAGGACCAGGAGCACCTGCTGACCGACGCCAAGACCCCGGAGGAGGTCACGGACATCGAGCCCCTGCTGCGGCTCGGCCTCTCCAAGAAATCGCCGAAGCGTATGGCGCGGGCCTATGGCGCCCTCAAATTCGAGACCATGCGCACCCACGTGCCGGGAGGCCTGGGGCCCATCCTGGAGAAGAAGGAGGACATGGTGAGGGGCACAGAGGCGCAGGACGGGGTCCAGAAGTGGCTCGACGCGCTGAATGAGGAGGCAGAGGATGATGTGGGAAGACTGAAGAAGGGCCTCCTGAAAGCCTCGGGGGTCAGGACGCACACCTGGGACACAAACGTGCCTGGAAGGAGGAGTGCCAGGGCAACACCGCGGCGCAGGAGGCCCACCGCCGCATGGGCGACTACACGGACCAGTTCTACCGTGGCAAGGGCTTCACGTTCAACATGTACTACAAGTGCTCGGCCAACAAGACCTGGAACAACCCCAGGGGATGCTGCTCGGTGATCCGATCGGATCGCTGGACGCAGCTGCTCACCTGTGCGCAGGAGGCGGCGGGGGAGACAGGCCAGCGCTGGTACTGCCACTGTGGTGCGCGCTACTCGACCTCCTACGGCGTCTGCATCGAGTTGATTGAGGAGGAGCTGAACCCGCCACGTGCGTACTACATGCACGCGGAGCACCCCGAGGAAGACATCCGCGACTTGAAGGCCCTGCTGCGCTACGACAAGCTCAAAAAGGAAGAGATACCGGTGTTCAGCGCTGTTGACCTCCTGCAGTACCTGCCCAAGGTCGAGCCGCTGGCAGCGGGCACCGTCTTCAAGCGCTATGCTCCACACCAGCCGCAGTGGGAGGGCCACTATGCGCTAGTGGAGGGGCTCTCCTGGGAGAGCCTGACCGAGTTCAAGTGGACCGACCTGTACGCGCAGGTCGCCCGGGGGCTGAACGACCCAGAGTGGGCGGGCTACAGCAAGAAGACGCGGAATAAGGCCAAGAGGGAGCGCCTGGAGATGGCGCACAGGGAGCTGGCGCTCTACGAGCGCCGCCACAACCTGCGGGAGGGCAGCCTCACGGGCGGTGGGGGTGGCACAGGGGCCGCCCCGCGTGCCACCCCCGTCCGCACCGCCAGCGCCCCTCCAACGGGTGGGGCCCGCGGCAGCCAGGACCCGCCACCACCGCCTGTCGGGGCCCCGCCAGCGGCCATCATGGCCCCGCCGCCGCCGCCGCTGACGGCGCCCCCCGCGGTGCCGCCGCCGCCGACGGACCCGCCGCCGCCGACGGACCCGCTCCCGCAGCAGATCCCAAATGTTGCAGCCCTGAACGTGGGCCCTCGGCGAAGATCTCGAGCGCCAGATCTTTGGGCCCTCAGGGCAGGCGGGCGGCAGCGGCCACCTCGGGGGAGAAGTGCAAGCGCTGCCGTCGCAGGTCTTCGCAGCCATTGCGCAGGGAGCAGGCCAGCCCGCTTGAATGATGAAACCCAGCATGCCCACAGCATCGGATACTTCTATGCCCTAGGGGAGGCTACGTAAGTCCATGCCAAGATCTCGTGCCTGCCACTCTCAGAGGTGCTGCACCAGTAGGTCCGCTTACGCCCCAGCTGCAGCAACGCCGCCTTGCCCGCGAGCGCGGCGTGCCCACAGTGGTACCCCCCTCGCGCCGCAGCACCTGTTGCTTTAGCCTCCGCTCTGCGTGCGGTCATATGTGCACCTAGCCACTCTGGCCTGCCAATTGGCTTGCCACCTTGGCCTCCTCTCACGCCCACTTGCGCTCGTGAGCCTCGCTGGCGGTGCTGGGGCCGCCCCGTGTGCTGCCGCGACGCCGCTGGGCGCCTAGCCATTTTGGTTTGCCATCCTGGCCTCCTCTCGCGCCTTCCTGCGCTAGTTGACCTCGATGGCGGTACTTGGGTCGCCCCGTGTGCTGCTGTACCGCCGCTGACGCTTCACTTTGGGCCGTAGGGACCAGCTGCCCTCAGATAGGCGCCTGCCGCTGCATGCACGTCAGACCCGCCCTTTCACCCAGAAGAGGTGCCCGCTACATACTGGCAATGAGGCAGCCACAAGGACGCTCTTCCCAAGGTGGGTGAGCCGTGGTGATGTGGTGCACGAGACCGCCAGTAGTAGTAGTAGTAGTAGTAGTAGTAGTAGCAGTAGTAGTAGTAGTAGTAGTAGTAGTAGTAGTAGTAGTAGTAGTAGTAGTAGTAGTAGTAGTAGTAGTAGTAGTAGTAGTAGTAGTAGTAGTAGTAGTAGTAGTAGTAGTAGTAGTAGTAGTAGTAGTAGTAGTAGTAGTAGTAGTAGTAGTAGTAGTAGTAGTAGTAGTAGTAGTAGTAGTAGTAGTAGTAGTAGTAGTAGTAGTAGTAGTAGTAGTAGTAGTAGTAGTAGTAGTAGTAGTAGTAGTAGTAGTAGTAGTAGTAGTAGTAGTAGTAGTAGTAGTAGTAGTAGTAGTAGTAGTAGTAGTAGTAGTAGTAGTAGTAGTAGTAGTAGTAGTAGTGGTAGTGGTAGTGGTAGTGGTAGTGGTAGTGGTGGTAGTAGGAGTAGTAGTAGTAGTAGTAGTAGTAGCAGTAGTAGTAGTAATGTGTTGGGGTGACGCCGACTCCTCCAACTCATGGCTTGACCTGCTCCTGAATCGCTTGCACGCCGCTGCTCGCTTCTCCTCCCGTCCCTCGCGAAAAGGCCTCCAGGTGCTCCCAGTTCTGCATCCGCAGCACGTCCGCGCGGTCGACGACGCACACCTCGATCGAGGAGAGAAAGTCAAAGTCGCGTTTCCTGGCACGCGGTGCTGGCAAGTCGGGGGTCGGTACGGGAAGGCATGCACGACCGAGCGTATGACCGTGCTCTCCGATTGTTATGGCAATGCCGACTCCTCATTTCGCAGCCAGAAGGGACTCGATGCAGCAATGGCCAGGACAAGGGTGCTGCAGAGTAAAGCTGCTAACTCTAACTTTCGAGATCGGATCGCTGCGCAGTCGGAGACAGGTCACGCAACTAATGTGTGCATGATGTTGCGCACGTGTACGCGTGCGTGCAGATGCGTACATCTTTGAGCAAACGCACGCATGACACAATGACAGCAATAACAGAACTGGCGAGGACCAGATCAGCGGTGATTGCTTCAAACGAGTAAGGCATCTTCGCTTTGCCACATGAGCGGTACAAGGTGAGTGGTACGTCTCTCAACAACATGTGGCTCGCGAAACGCTATTCGGGACAAACTACTGCGTCCTCACGTTTCGTGGAACTGACCTTGCACTGCAACAGTGGAGATCTCTGTTGAATACAAGTGTGCGGGGAAGGCTTGAAAAACATCAGCATGCGCGAAGCTGTGAGGAAACATACGCATGAGGAGCAGGATGATGATGATGATGATGATGATGATGATGATGATGATGATGATGATGATGATGATGGTGATGGTGATGGTGATGGTGATGGTGATGGTGATGGTGATGATGATGACACTGATAATGCTAATAATATCATAATGATGCTGATGATGCTGATGGTGATGGTGATGATGAGTTGAGAAACCAATACCACCCGAAACCTGGCATCGGGCTTGAGTCCGTGATGCGGCACACGTCGCTACACTCACTGATACATCAGCTACCGTCGTGCTCTGTGATGCGAGAAGCGCAGTGAATGAACGGCGTCGCGCACCCTGGGTGTCATGAGTTGGAGTAGGGGAACGAACAATGACATAAGCCCTCGGAGGTCCGCGCGGATTTCTCGGATCGGCGCTCGACCTCCCTCCCTGGCGCGCGAAGCGCGCCAGGGGCGGCGCCGGAGGCGCCGCCAGGGGGCCCCAGTGCCGATGCGAGAAATCCGCGCGGACCTCCGAATTTGATGTTCATCTCATTGTTCGTTCCCCTAATCTGGGTAGTCGAAGCCAATCTGGCGCCAATCTGGCAGGCCCAATCTGGCAAACGGGGGCAATCTGGCGAGGGAGTCAACGCGAATCCAGTCTGGCGAATAACCCAAATCATCCAGTTTGGCCGGGCCAGATTGGCCCTTGGGGCCCAATACAATCTGACAGTCTGGCCTTCGACTACCCAGCTAATGAGGGAGGAGGGGAGGGTGTGGAAGGGGAGGAGAGATCAGCGCGACCCTCGTTGTGGCCCTCCGCGTGGGCCCTCGTGCGTCAGCCTCCATGGGAGGGGGCGGCGCGCGCAGGCAGCGCGCGTCCTCTCGCCCTCGGCGCCCGTGATCATCCTCAGACCAAGGGGCGAGCCGAAGATCACGTCGCTTCTGCGTGGCGGGCGGCATAGATATATTTGGGGATCGGGGATCCCAACACCGTGTGGTGACAGACCGTGCGGTGACCTGAACCGCAAGAGACCTCAACGCACGGTCCGTCAGCGCACGGTCTTGGGACCCTGGAGGCCCCAGTCGCCCGAGGCATCCTCGGAAAAGGACCCAAGTCCCAAAACCGTGCGGTGACCCCGAATCTCCACCGACTCACCACACGGTGTGGTCACCACCCCGTTTAGGGGCCCCCGATATATTCTTCCCCCTCCTCATCCCGCCCCCGCCTGCTTTCCGCTTCTTCCTCGCGGTGCCCAGCCGAAGTATCGCTTCACTCGCAAGGAAGAGCGCGCGCCAGCGGCGGGCTTGCTTCTTACAACTCGGGCATGGAGCTCACAACGAAGGCCCCAACATCAACCGGCGCACGCCTTGGGACTGCCGGAGGCGGTAGCCAACCGCTCAGAAGCATTGTTAGGGCCCAGCCTCGCTCTCATCCAGTACGGCAGGGCTGGCGCCTGCAGGTGGGCCCTCGCCTGACTTCGGCATGCTCGACCACGTAGCAATCGCGCACTCGTGCCTGTGTCTGCAAGGAGCCTGCGTCTTCGTGCACATTGAGGAGATATGCGCCACTGCAATCCATCCGATCCCTCTCGCTCCGCTCAGCTCCCGTCTCTCCTGCCTCAATTCTCCCGTCTTGATGCAGCCCCCTTCGCCTTCCAGCCTTCCTCCAGGCGATGGGCATACGGCATGTTCGTGTCGTGACGACTTCGGTGCTGGTTCCTGACACCGCGTGGACCGGTCAACCTTCAACGATCGGCGGTTTCTCGATCGCCAGATCGCTCCATCGTGGACGATTCTGGGCTGCCCGCGGTGTTCAACCTTGAACGCCCGCGCTGGGTCGCCGCCGCGTTAGCACGACACGAACCTACCGTGCAAACACTCGTTGCTGACCGCACGATGTGCTGGGAGCCGTCGTCCGAGACCGGAGTCGAACGCCGCAGTCTGCAGGAGAAAGAGGGGGAGGAGCATCCAGCTATCCGCCGCCGCGCTGGCAGCGGTTGCTGCTTGCATGTGCATCGGGCTTCCCTCACCCCGCGGCTCTTCCCTCCCGCTGGTCGCCCTCCCCCCCCCTCGTCACCCCCTCGCGCCTGCCTCCCCGCGAGACACGCTGCGCGGTCCCCCCTGTTGGAAGCCTGGAAATGGGCACGGACACCAACATAGGGGGGTGCTTCCACGGGAGGAAGATGATCCTGGATTTTGGTGTTGGTGGCAATTCTTCGGCCACCTAGAAAGCCCGAAGATTACCGCCATCACCGAGGATCGGGATCATTTCCCCTCGGTGGAAGCACACCGCCGATATCGGTGTTGGCGTCAACCTCTGGGCCTCCGACCCGGGGCGGATGCGGCATGCCCCTGCTGCCCCCGAGCTGACCGCGCTCCCCCCTCGGCTCTCTCCCGCCTCCGCTGCGCAGCTGCGCGCGCGGCCGCCCGCCGCAGGGCGCCGCGTCGGGCCCGCTCTCCGTCAGCTCCGACCCCTGCAGAAGCTAGCCACGCGCCATCGCTCGGACGTCCATGCCCCGCGCATGCATCGACCTCGTGAGTGCGAAGTTCGGCTCGGCGATCCAGGATGCTCCTCGATGGTCCTCGCCGAGAACTGGCCATCGCTCGGACGTCCATTCCCTGTGTTTCGTGCGGTTTCGTGCGTGGCTTCTTCGCAGGATGATCCAGGATGCTCCTGAATAATCAGCGGGGTACGGGGGACTCGGAAATCCCCGACGAGGTCGTCAAAAAAATGACGAGGCCGAGCCTGCATTTTGACGAGGCCTCCCGCTGCAGACATCCCACGAAACTCCTCCTCGTCAAAATCCGAGGCGCGGTCGTCAAAAGACGATGGCGAACCCGAGTCCTGGCAAACCCGGGTCTTACGCTCCCCCGACAAGAGAAAGTGCACACGTCCGAGCGATGCCGAGAGAAAAAACGCGCGCACGTCCGAGCGACGCCGAGGCCACAAAGGGGACTCCCGACGCCTCGGGAGCCCAGCCTGCGGCCTCGTGTGTCGCGTCCCATACGTCCGCCCCTCCCGGCAGCAAAAAAAAAAACGAGGCTCAGGCTGGCTGTTCTCAAAGATCAGGGGGGCGTAAGATCCGGGTACAGGGGACTCGGAAATCCCCGACGAGGTCGTCAAAAAAATGACGAGGCCGAGCCTGCATTTTGACGAGGCCTCCCGCTGCAGACATCCCACGAAACTCCTCCTCGTCAAAATCCGAGGCGCGGTCGTCAAAAGACGATGGCGAGCCCGAGTCCTGGCAAACCCGGGTCTTACGCTCCTCCGAAAGGAACCTGCCCCAGGGCTCGACCTAAACAGCTTTCCTCGTTGTCGTTCTCTGTTCGCTCTCACACATGGTCCATATATCTACCTTGGCGCACGTCCGCGGTAGCAACATACTTGCGAAACTTCATAAACCTGCTTCCTCTTATAGACGAGCAAGTACGATACAACTGAGCCCAATGTGTCACACAATGGCCATCATGCAAATTGAACGACTTCACGACCTGCGTCAAACACTCAAGGCCGTGGGAAATGTAAAATTGAACGACTTCACGACCTGCGTCAAACACTCAAGGCCGTGGGAAATGTAAGGGTGAAATATGCTATCGTCCCGAGCAGATGGCTGCACAGAACTCGAAAAACTTCCTCTTGGCGGTCTGCTTGGAACACTTCATGCGCTCGAACTCCTGGCCAACTCGTGCTTGTCGGAAAGGAAGAAGGACATGGCATCGGTTGCCTGGTGTCTCGGTACGTTTGTTGTGTTCCACGATCAATTGATTATAATCATCTGGCGTTCGCTTCTGGCCGCATTGATGTGGCCCTGCTGGCGGAACTCCAGGTGTGCAAAGTAGGCGAGGCCACGAACTGAAGCGACCAATCCCCGCAGTGGTGAACTCGCACTGGATGCAGTACAAGTGCGGGTCTTGGTCGCTCCTGGCTCCAGTGAGCGGCCCAAGCACATGTTAGCCTTGCTGTCGGGCCTCTCGGTTGTGGAGAAGCCGTTTCTGTTCATCAGTGAGAGCTCGTCCTTGTAAGCCTTGGAACTCTCGCTCCTCCTCTGGCGTCCAGGTAACCACGTTGCGTAGCTTCTGGACAGATGCGACATTCCTGGTGTGGGTGCCTCTCTCCGCGAGCGCTGCCACAGATTGCATGGCCCGTGTAGAAAGATCACTATCTCGAACAGTCTTGGCGATATTTTCCTGGAGACTCGTTCTCTGTTCGCTCTTTCCCCCGCTCCCTCTTCGATCCCCCCCCCCTGCTGCAGAGCGAGACCGAAACGAAAACGGCCCACGAAGTCGCCAAAACACCGTCCAGGTCCTTCCCTGACATACCCCCCGCCAGGCGCCCCCCCTTCCCACCTCCCACGGGCGCCGACCCGAGCGCAGTGGCGGATTCGCGCGGCCGCGCAACTGGGCATCGAGCGGCGATGGCAGAATGAGGTGCAGAGCGGTGTCCCTCTCCGAAGAACGCCCAGCCGCCACCGCGGGTCCGCTGCGGCGTTTCGCCCATGCACGAGAATGCTGAGGTGCGGTAACTGCGTGGTCTCACTTTCGCGCTCAAAGCCCCGGCTCCCTAGCCGCACAGGGGGTCCAGGATCAGCGGCGCGGAAGCGACACCTTCTGGCTGTTCCACAACAATCGCCCATCGGACTACGCGGCAGGGTGCAAGGAGAGAGAGAGAGCAGAACAAAAAAATGGCACCGACGCGTGTGGCGGGGACTCCAACGCCAGAGAAAACGTGAGAACAGCCCGCGTCTTTCCGCACCATCCCACCCTTCCTCCCTCAATCACCTCCGTCCTTCGGGGGCGCGCAAACATGGACTAGCGATCCATGCATTTGGCGCGCGGTCGCCTAATCCACGGGCCGGGGGAGGTGCCCTCCCCAAAATGCGGCTGGCGCCACCTCGCTCGGCGGAGGAAATCCGCGATTTCCCCTGGAAACGGGACCCGTCGCTAATCCACGCCCCCCTGATTCCTCCCTCCCTCCCTGCCTTCCTCCCTCCCTCCATCCATCCCTCACTGCCCTTCCTCCCAGCTCTCCCTCCCTAGGGGGCAAACAAACCTACCTCGCTTTTGGCCACCCTCGCTTCCAAGAGATACCAAGCGATGCCAAACTACGGCCTGTACTGGTCAGGCCGCTTGACGAGGAGGCGCGTGGTATGACTTGGTTTTGTCTGGAAGCGAAAGCGGGGTAGGTAATTCACGCTCTGACTCCCCCCCTCCGCCGACCGGCCCCTGCCGCCCGAGCGCGCCCGCCCTCCTGCCGGGCCTCACCGCCGCCCCCCGATGGTCGGGGGAAGAGGCGCCCCGCGGGGCGCACCGCCGAAGGTCGGGCACTCCCCAGCACTGAGCATCGTTTACGTATCCTCCTCCTCCTCCTCCTCCTCCTCCTCCTCCTCCTCCTCCTCCTCCGCCTCCTCCTCCTCCCCCTCCCCGATTCACCATCGGCGCCAGTGCTAATGGTGAATCTCGCCTCCCAGGAGTTGCAACCAACCCTTAGGACTGGCTTTTCGTCCAAGAGCCGTTTTTGTTCACAGCCCCTGGACCCAGCGAGGGCTCTCGGAGACCGAATCGTTCGAAACCATTGCGCCGCGATTACTGAAGGCCCCGGGATGCAAGGGGCACAGGGACACGACATACACACACACACACACACACACACACACATTCACGCACACACACACCCCTATATATATATATATATATATATATATATATATATGTAGAAGCACAAAAACGAAGAATCTGTATATTTTCGCTATTTTCTGGCTCTTCGTCTTCCCCTCCACTTCCCAGATCTTCCATGGGATCGACGATCATGGACCAGACAACAAACGACGTCACACCACCTACGGCCCCACGAGGTTTAGCGTATAATTACGAGGGAATATGGCCGCCCGATGGGCTGTAGCGCAACATGGAGGGCCGTAGGTGGGGTGCTGTCGTGCGCTGTTGGGTCAAGATGATTGCGATCGTTTCTTATTCGACATTTCGGCAGTGGGCAGAAGGGGGGAGGGAGGATGGGATATGGCTCTGGACATCCGCTTACTGCGACTGTTTGCAACAGTGCGTCCTATGGGGTAGACTTCGCGAGGGGCCGACACAGGCGCCAAAAAACAGCGCGCCGATCGGCAAAACAATGGATAAGAAAACGATCACATCTGTGTCTCGGAATAGATAAAGCCGTATGAACATGAACTTTCGGCGCTCCGCGCAGATGTCTTGGATCTGCGCTGGACCCCCGCGGAGCGCGCCAAGGGCGGCGCCAGAGGCGCCGCTGGGGGGGGCCCAGCGCAGATCAAAGAAATTCGCGCGGAGCGCCAGACAAGTTATGTTTTTGTGCCGCTTTGCCTTCTTCGAAACGAGGAAATGATTACCTTTGTGTCTGTGCGTTTCCCTCCCCAGGGACGCCAAGAACTCCCTGCTCCTCTTCCCTGGCGGGGCGAAAGCCGGCCGCCCCCAAGGAGGGAGCGCACCGGTCGAAGGGCGTGCAGAGCCGCACGGTCTTCTTGGCCAGCGACAAGCCGAACTGGCCAGGAGCGTTTTGCGGGGGGCGGGGCAACCAAATGTTGGAGTACCATGTGGGACCTGCTTTAGAACAGGGACGTACCGTAGACGGATCTACCATTTCTCCGACCTTGCACCGCGCCGAACGCAACCGACGTTGTCCATAGACGTATCCACCCCGAAAGTGTCTATGGACTTTGCGGCACCCAATGTGTCCATATACGTTTCTGGCCAGGACGTGAACACGGTATTTGGCATCGGCTCCAGATGTTGGTCTTCTAGACTCAGGCTTGGCCGTTCAAACCAAATGTGGGCCCCACTTGAGGCGGAACACCAGGAGAGGGGACCCTTCGAAGTTCGGACACCGAGGTCTTCGGACGTCTTGGCTGGTTCTCGGCGGCTTCCCCGCCTCGGAGTGCTGTCTCCAGCGTCTGCGCCTCGCCGAGGGCGGTCTGGGGGGGGCCCGCATCGCCCCGAACGGCCGTCCGAGGCCCGAGCAATGGCCCGCAAAACCACCAGGGGCAGCGCTTCAGGGGGGGAAACATCGACCTGGACTCGAGGACACATCGGCGATAGGCTGAGGTCGGGCATGTCCTCCTACAGGCGGGTTTTGGACGACATGTCTTCCTATGTATATATCTTTACAGGGCCCGGGACCCCTGAAAAAGCGCCCCGACCTAACAAATGTCGGACTCCCTGGGCTGGTTGAAGCCCCCCCCCGGGCTGCTCGGACGCCCTTGCCAAGGGTTCCTTCGGCCTTCTGGCCTTCTCGGAAGGTCCAAAGAGGCCTCCAAGATTGCCCAAGACAGCTCGTCGACAGTTCCAAATCACACCAAAACCTTCAACATGGCTTCCAAACGCCCCAAAAGACCTCCAAGAGGCTTCCCAAGAGGGCCCAAAGAGGCAACATTCATTGATGTTTCAATGGTGTTTGAAGGCTTTTTCGGTTTTCGCTTTTCCGGGACAAGAACGGCCCAAGACGGCCCAAGAGGCTCCAAAGATCGTCCCAACACGGCCCCAGAGGCCGCCCAAAGGGCTCGAAAACGGCCCAAGGGGCCCCTAGACGGCCCAAGAGGGCCCGAAAACTACCAAAGGAGCCCCAAGACGGCCCCAAGAGAGCCTCAGGAGCACCCCAAGAGGCTCCCAAGAGGGCCCAAAGAGGCCCCCAAGACAGCCCGAAGACGGCCGAAGGCCTCCAAGACGCCCCAAGACGGCCCGAAAGGGCCCCAAAACGACCCAAGAGAGTCCCAAAACGGCCCAAAAGGGCCCCCAAGACGGCCCAAAGAGGCAAAATTCATGTATGTGTTGAAAAGGTTTGAAGGTTTTTTCGGTTTTCGCTTTTTCGTGCCACGAACGGCCCAAAACGGCCCAAAACGGCCCAAGAGCGTTTTACATGGAATCTCCCTGCAAAGCAATTATTGCACGGATGTAGACATCGTTTAACAATGTATTACCGTGTAAAGCGAGCGTCAAACGCTCTTGGGACGTTCAGACGGTGGAAAGCGTTGTCATTTGGTATCCATTCGTACATACATACATACACATGCACGTGCATACATACGCAAAATAAATTCACATGCGCACACACATCCCCCCGAACGCATTTCGGACTCCCAGGGCTGCTGGAAGCCCCTTCCAGGGCTGCTCGACCTGCTGGGAAGCTCCCCATGGGCTGCTCGGACGCTCTTGCAAGGGGGTTATTCGACCTTCCGCCCTGAGGTGTTCAGGCCACTTTTCGCTTGAGACTCCCTCGCGCAGCTGACTTCGGAGATGCCCTGCCCTCGGGCCAGTTTCGCCTGAGACATCCTCGCAACGTCAACCTCGGATACGCCTTGCCGCGTAGCAATCAGACACGTAGCACTCCGACACGTTAACAAGGCCTCCAATTTTTTCCCAAAGGCTCTGGCGGCGCCCGTTGTTGAGTCCCTCTCAGGTCCTCCTGTCTTTCAACGCTCTCGGAGGCCAGCCCAGCGTCTTGCATTCGCGTCAGTTCCAGCCTCCATGCCATGACTTCCGATCCTGAGCGTTCGTGCCTGCCTGTCCTCGGGTCCGCGGGACTCCTCCCATTACTCTTTCTCTTCGCTTTCCTCCTTCCCACTGTCGGCTGAGACATCCTCGCAACTCTGACCCCAGAGAAGCCCTGCCCCAAGGTTGTCCGGCCACTTCCGCTTGAGACCTTCTCGCAACTCTGGGTTCCAGGGTTCCCTGAGCTGAGGTGTTCCAGCCAGTTTCGCTAGAAACATCCTCGCAACTCTGGATTCCGAGATGCCCTGCCGCAGAGTAGTCCGCCACTTTCACCTGAGACATCCTCGCAACTTTGGATTCAGGGATGCCCTGAGCTGAGATGTTCAGGCCATTTTCGTCAGAGACATCACAGCAATTCCGGGTTCGGGTATGTCCTCAGCTGAGGTGGTCAATTCACTTTCGCTTGAAACATCCTCGCAACGCTGACATCGGAGATGCAATGCCCCGTAATAGTCTGGCTACTTTCGCCTGAAACCCTCGCACCTCTGAGTTGCGAGATGTCCTGAGCAAGCGGTCGGGCCATTACCGCCTGGGATACGCATGCGTATGCACACCCATAAGTACAGATAGGTGTGTGCACCAACAAGCACCTGCGATTGACATATACATATACATATACATACACACTAGAACCATGCGCGCGCTTCGCGCGCGCTTCGGTTCTAGCCAAGCTCAGGGACGGGATTTGCTGTGAAGCTACCATGGAGCAGAACGCCTGAAAAAAAGATATGCACGAGGACATATGGAGTCAACAAGAGGGGAACAGGGGAGAAGGGAATCCTAAGTGTGTTTCTTTGGGGCGTCGGATGGCCGCGGCCGATACTACTTCTAATAGAATGAACGGGTTCGCGCAGAGTGAGGGCGTACAAGGCAAGGCGCACAAGAGGGATGGTGCAGAGCAGGGCTTGGCCATGCGAGGTCCAAGCAATAGCCCACGCGAGGAAGGTGCACGACGCGAGCACCGCTGAGATATCCTAACACTTCGGAGGTGGTGTGGCCCTGCCCCATGGTGGTCCCGTCGTTTTCGCCTATGACCTTCTCGCAGCTCGGGTTTCCGAGATGCCCTGAGCTGAGGTGAACACTGACCTCTGAGATGCCCTGCCTGATTGTGGTCATTGCTTCTCGCGTGAGACAGCCCTGCAACTGTGGGTGATGAGATGCACTGAGCTCAGGTGGTCAGGCCACTTCCGCATTAGACATCCTCGCAACTCTCACCACGAGGATGCTCTGCCCCCTGGTGGTCCGACCGCTTTCGCCTGGGACATCCTCGAAACTCTGGGTTCCGAGAGGCCCTGAGCTGGGGTGGTCAGTCCACTTTCGCCTCAGGCATCCTCGCAACTCTGACCTAGGAGATACCACGCTCCATGGTGGCTCGGCCATTTTCGCCTGGGACATCCAGGGAACCCTGGATTCCGAGATGCCCTGAGCTGAGGTGGTCAGGACACATTGGCCTGAGATATCCTTGCAACTCTGACCTCATGCCCTGTCCTGTGGTGGTCCAGCCACGTTCGCCTATGACATCCTCGTAAACTGTGGACTCTGACATGTCATGAGCTGAGGTGGTCATGTCACCTCCGCACGACGACGACGACGACGACGACGACGACGACGACGACGACGACGACGAACGAACACTCAGCGACGACAACTGGCCATCCGGGGTCGTCCTGGAGGCGTCTGGCGCTCCTCATTGAAGCATCTGAACAGTTCGTTCGGATCTCGTGCCAAGTCTCTTGGGGGCCTCCTGGAAGCAGTTCCGAGGCTCTTGGGGCCCGGTTCAGTGCCTGTTGGGGGCCGTTTGGGGGGCTTTTTTTTCCGCGAGCACTCGAGTATGTTGAGTATGTTACACAGTCACTGCCTCCACCTGGCGACTTGCAGGTCGCACGGACGATCAGTCCGAATAGCGGCCGACATGGCGCCAATCGCCAGCAGGTATTGCTTAAGTGCAGGACAGAAGGAATGAAAGAAGTGAGCCCTCGTTCCTCGCCGCCGCCTCCTCCACCACGCCCTCCTCCTCCTCGAAGCTACGAGCAAGGACTCACTGCTCGTAGCCATGGAGACGCCACTTGTGAAATCGGCGGCGCCAACTGCGTCAGAAAAGCTGCGGGGCGGGGAGGCGGGCGGGCCCGGGGGCGGAAAGAAGCGGAGGGGCCACGCCAGAAAGGGAGCGGCGGACCCGGGGGAGCACGCAGGCCCAGGGCAGGGCAAGGCGCCACGGAGGCGGCAGCAGCCAGAGCACCAGGAGCTGGCGTCGGGGGCAGCGGCCTGAAAACCAGGCGGAGGGGCAAGACACTGGCAGTGCAGCGTATGTCGCGCGGCCGGCGGACACACCTGCTGATAGCAAGCCACCCTAACTCTGGAGTGGTGCTAGAAGAAGGTCCAAACCGAGGTCCACCTCGATGACCCTGCGTGAAAATGGAGCTATCGGGGGGCCGCCCCGTTCTCCATGCGTAAGTGGGCCGCCCCGTTCTCCATCGGGGGGCCGCCCCGTTCTCTCGGCGGAAGCACGGCAAAGACCAACGGGGTGCCACAGGCAGAGCCTGAACAAAACCTGCGAAGGCCGACGGACCCCGAGACGAAGCAGGGGCCAGAAACGGCAGCGCAGGGCACCCCAGGCAGGGAGGTGGGGGAGCCCAGAGGCCCCGAGTGTGAGCTGGAGTGTGAGGGTGAGCGTGAATGTGTGAGTGCGTGAGCGGTTCCTCGTGTTTGGGTTGCTTGGGAGGCACCTTGAATGCTGGCGCACGGTTTGGCGAGTCTCGAGCCTGATGGGCCTAGCTAACTGGTCAAGGTTAGATCTGCAGCGGATGTGCCAACTCACCCAGCCTGGACTCAGAACCACCGCGCAATACCTAAAACCAAATGTTGGGACGATCGTTCCCCATCTGAACATAACATGTGGACATACAATTTCGGTTGGCCGCAAGCCAATGGAAAAATGCATGCCCCTTCGTGGTACACCGCTTGCGACAATGTCGCAACCGACGCCCTTGCAACTAC